GTGGCTCAGTGGGAGAGCCCCTGCCTAGAATCCCCCAGTGAGGGGCTGGGGTGTGGCTCAGGGGTAGAACAACTGCCTAGAACCCCACAACAAGGGGCTGGGAATGGTTCTCAGGGGAGAACATTTGCCTAGCCAATGCCAGGACAGATGTTTCTTCACACTCCCAGGCCAGCCATATAGACATGAGCATCCCAGATGAGGGGCAGACGAAAGAAGAAGAAAGGAAGAGGAGGAGGAAGAGGAAGAAGAGGAGGAGGAGGAGGAGGAAGAGGAGAAGGAAGGAGGAGGAGGAGGAAGAGGAAGAAGAAGAAGAAGAAGAAGAAGAAGAAGAAGAAGAAGAAGAAGAAGAAGAAGATGATGATGATGATGATGATGATGTTCCCATTCTCCACTTCCACTCACCGGGATGAGAGCACCCTGGGCACCTTTGCAGCCACAGTGAATTCTGGGGACACACTTGTCGTTATCAAGCACAAAGCCAGAGTGGCAGAGGCAGCCTTCTTTGCAGGCGGAGGGGACTTTGAGGCCGGTGCCTCCACAGTGGCCCTCTGGGTCCAAGCAAGAGGGTGGGCAGGAGGGCAGGCAGGCGGTGAAGCTGCTGTTGACTGGACACTGCAGAGCTGTGGAGTGGAGGGAGAGCCGAGTTAATGGAGAGGACCAGAGGAGGCCCGAGGAAGCAGAGGCTTCTGTGCAGAGATCAGACTTGACAGAATGACCAGGAGATCCTTTCCCACCTCACCACACTTACTATCCATTCAACAAGCATTCACTGAGCATGCCCTGTTTGTCAATCCACGAGAGAGAAAGTAAGAAAAATGGATGCCCCAAGTCAGCGGAGGAGACTAAACATTGAGACTGAGAAGGCACTCAGCCAAGCTTGGCTCCACAAACTCTCTCTACTGTGGTGCCTTCTATCCCCACACCCCTGAACCCAAGGACCTAAGTGTCTTCTCGCCCTGCCTCTAGTCCCTCCTGCCACCAGCTTCTCCGTCTTCCCCCAGGCCCTTACGGATTTCAGCACAGTGACTGCTGTCATCATTGTCATTCTTGCAGTAAGTCCCTGGAGGACACTGGAAATCCAGGCAGTGGATGCTCCCTGCCCTGCAGGCACAGCTCTGGGTACAGCCTTTGGAGACCAAGGTCTTGCCTTCCTGCAGAAGGCATGGAAAGAGACAGGAAGTGAGGAAGGAGAGACTGGCTAGAGAGGGCCTCACCTGTCTGAAGGGACTCAGGTTTGCCCTCCCCATTGCCACTGCACATCTCCTGAGTCAACCAACAACAGGTAGAACATATTTGAAAAATATTTCCTTCTGTTGCTGTACGCATCACTGAGCAGAACAGAACCTGCCTAGACTCTCCTAGTGAGGAGGCGGGGGGCATGGGCTGTCAGCAGAATTTCTGCCTGGAATCCTAGGTCAGGGCACTGGGGAGTGGGTCAGGGGTAGAACACTGGCCCTGAATCCTATAGTAGGGGCCTGGAGAGCATGGCTCAGTTGCATAGCACCTGACTAGAATCCTCAGTAATGGGAGGTTGTGTGGCTTTGAAGTAGAATACTTGCCTGGAATCCCCCAGTGAAGGGCTGGGGAGTGGTTCAGTGATAGAGCATTTGCCTACCCTGTGCCTGGACCTGAACAACCTCACATTCCAGCACCAGCCATACAGACCGGAGCATCCCAGGTGCAGAGAAGCAGAAGAAATGAGCTCATGGCTCCCAATCCTATATGGTTTTTATTGTCACTCATTTGTTTGTTTGTTTGTTTTTGAAACAGGTTCTCACTACGTAGTCCTGGCTGGTCTAGAACTTGTTATGTAGCTCAGGTTGGTCTTGAAATTTTTAGAGATACATCTGTCTCTGCTCTCCAAGTACTGGGATTAAAGGCATGAGTCATCACATCTCTCTCTCTCTCTCTCTCTCTCTCTCTCTCTCTCTCTCTCTCTCTCTGTGTGTGTGTGTGTGTGTGCACACTTAGACATAAAGATCAGAGGATAATTTCAAATGTTGGACTCATGCCGTAGCTTGTATTGAAAAATGCGGTCTGTGTCTGCCTGTCTTTTTACCTGTCCTCTTTGTTTTGGTCACCACTGCACACACAAGACTAAGCTAGCTCTCAAGTTTCTGAGGATTCTGCTGTCTCCCTTTCCTATCTCCCAGTGGAAGCACTGGGGTTACAGACATAGGCTACTGTATCCATCTCCTATGATTGTGGGGATTGAGACCTTGGTCCAACAGTTCAGGATGAACACTTATACGGTGCTATCTCCACAGCCCCCACCAATCCTACCCTCCACGCCCACTCACTGGGATGAGAGCACCCTGGGCATCTTTGCAGCCACACAGAGTTCTGAGCATACACTTGTCATTCTGCAGCACATAGCCAGATTGACAGATGCAGCCCTCCTTGCAAGTGGAGGGGACTTTGGGACTGGTTCCCTTACAGAGGCCATCCGGGTCCAAGCAGGTAGGTAGACAAGGGGGTAGGCAGTCAGTGAATAGGCTGTGGGTTGGGCACTGCAGAGCTATGGGATAAAAATAGAGTGGGGTTAGTGGAGAGGCCCAGAGGGTGTCTGAGGAAGCAGAAACCAGGCTGGGCATAATGATCAAGAGACCTTGGGTTTTGTTTTGTTTTGTTTTGTTATTTATTCAGCAAAAATTTACTGGGCATGGCCTATGTGCCAAGTTCTGAGAGAAGAAAGTTAGACTGGATCTCCCAAGTCAGTGTCAGAGACTATTGAGAGGTTACCACCGAGAAGGGTCTCAGCAGAGCTGAGGGTTACCAGAACCCTCTCTACTGTAATACCTAGTATCTTGACCTCTTAGGGCAGAGGCACAAGCTCCTTCTTGCCCTGCCTCAGACTCGTCCAGTCATGAGCACATACCCCCTCACCACCTTCCCCACGGCTCTCTTACTTATTTTAACACAGTTACTGGTGCCGTCATTATTGTCCTTGCAGTAAGTCTCTGAGGGACACTGGAAATTCTGGCACTGAACAGCCCCTCCCATGCAGGTACAGCTCTGGGTGCAGCCTGTGGAGGTCCATGTCTTGCCTGCCTGCAGAAGCCAAGGAAGAGATAGAATGTGAGGACAGAGGGATAGGTGAGAGAGAGACAGTGCCACTTCCTGTCTCAGGGACTTGGGTTTGAATAGAGGTATGTAGTCACAGCTACTGAGACCACTTACCCGGTGTCAAAGATGCTGGGGGAAATGCTTCTGCTGTGGTGTGTGTAGCTCTGCAATAGGACCTGCCTAGAACTCCCCACTGAGGTGTGTGTGGGAGGGGCTCAGTGCGAGCACTCTGGCCCAGAGTCTATAATGGGGATCTGGGAATACAGTTCAGTTGTAGAGCGTCTGACCAGAATCCCCAGGGATCTAGGGGCTCATGTGACCTATGTATACTTGCTGGAGGTGTGGTTCAGTGGTAGAGCACTTGCCTAGCCTGTGCCTGGACATCATCAACCTTCATACTCCAGGCATATAGACAGAGTATTCCAGGCAAGATTTGAAGAAACAATGAGAATGTGACCTTCCTAATCCCAGGTTGATTTTCAAACCATTCTCCTACTCCGTGTGTGTGTGTGTGTGTGTGTGTGTGTGTGTGTGTGTGTGTGTGTGTGTG